GGGAAAGAGCCCTCCCCCCTGGAACAGTGTCCCCCAAAGAAGCAGGCCATTCCAGGGTGTGCTGTCCCCCGCCCCGACCCCGTCATGGGCCTGCCTTTTCCAGCCACCCCAGACTGCTCTCGCAGCCCTCTGCATCCTCAGCAAGCAGCTAGCAGGCCGGAGTTGGGGCCCCTGTTGGCGTGTGTGCAGAGGTGGGGAGTGCCGGCGCCGACCCTCCCCTGAAGGTGGGACCGGGAGGCCGCAGGCCTTGCTGACTTAACCTTTGGTGGCCACTGCGTGTCAAGCTCATAATACAATTAGTCATGTGTGCTGTTGACCTTGGCGGCATGGCTCACCACTGTTCTGTTAAGTGTTAACACTGAGTCTGAGTGTTAACTAGAGACCAAGCTGGCTCCGCCCTGCACAGCTTATCGAATGCCCATCTCGTTCAGCACAAGTGTTTATAGTTCTTAAAGAAGAGGAGAAAGCCGCTTTCTTTTGTGTGGCTAGTGCATCTTGAACTGTAAAATTAACCCTGCAGGTGCCGCCGCACTGTGTCTCCCCGCATCGGCATCACTGGCCCCTGTTCCAGAGCGACCCTGCTGCCCCACTCCACCCTCCCTTGTGCTGTTGGTGACATGCGAGTCGCTGGCTCCCACAGCCAGGCGCAGTGGCTTTGCCAGGCCAGTTTTTTGCATGTGTGCGAACTTCGGCAACAGAAATGAAACTGCCGTGCCGTGATGAGCCGGTCATCTGTCCCACGCAGGCAGACGGTGACAGTTGAGGGAGGCTCACTCCGACACAGAGCAGTGCATGCCCGGGGCTGTTCGGCCGTGGCCTCTGGCATGCCTCCGTGGTCCTTCAGGGAGTGGCCAGCATGCCAGCACTTCCCGGCAGGCATGGCACGGAGTAGCATGTGTCATACCTGGGGGACCGCATCTCGACCCTAAGTGACTTGGCCCTATCAGCCGACGTATGTCACGTCTGTATCTCACCAGGCACAGGTGGTCTCATGTGCGAGGACAGCACAGAGGTGAACGAGTGTGCTGCCTAGCTTCGGAGCTCAGAAACCTCTTGTCATTCGGTGCAGCATCTAGGGCAGCTGGTTACATGGGGGTACCAGCCTCGGTGCCCACCCCGCGTGGATGCCCCCAGAAGGAACCCGGTCCCCCTCCCTGTGCCTCAGCACAGAGATAAAACCACAAATGTGCTCGGCATAAGACAGTTGGTGACTGCCACAGGTGGTCGGGACTTAACGCATCTGAGACGCGGGCCGCTGCGTAGACGGCTGTGCAGGGTCAGCGAGGCGCGAGCATAGCAAGAGTGCCCTCCACCGTTCAGCTCTGTGCACACAGCTCCCGGCCAGGGAGGAGGACAGAGATTTTTCTCTCCGTCTGGAATTTCTTCTACATTGTTAAACACAGCAGGGGTCTCTATTTGTCCCCTCCTGTCTCACAGCTTGGGCTCAGCGTGTGATAATTCATCTTTCTTTATGGGATCCAAAGCTATCATAAGGAGTTAAAAAGAATTAATTTGCAAGAAAATAAGTGTCTCCTAACAATTTAGGAAAACTTGAAAAATGCATTCTAGATTTTTAAGAGCCAGAAAGGCCAAGGAGAACATAGCTCTCCCTTTCCTGTAGGTCCACGTGGCACCTTAAAGCTCTTGGGTAAAGTGGGGGAGTCTCCCGGCCTGGCCTTCCCCTGCCTGAACACATGTTGTCAGTTGTGATGACCGGGGGACAGAGCAGAGGAGCAGCTCGCTGTGAGCCCAGGAGGGCCAGGTCACACAGTACATAGCCAGCATGGCTTGTTTATGCCTGAAAAGAGCATTTTTAAAAGCCTTGCTCACAACTGTCCACTGAAATTTTTCAAGAAAACGTGATGTTTGAAATACTCTCAGTACAATTATGTTTTTCACTTGATTATTACTAAAATTCTGCCTGTCTCTGACACATTGTTCTTCAGAAGTTTGTGTGTGTGCGTGTGCACACGCGCAACATGTATGTTCTGCAACAGACCAGGAATTAATGCCAAGGAGCTAGAGTCACGGTTTGCGGGGAGGCGGGTTCCGTTGACAGCGAGCTGAGACACCCTGCATGTTGTGGAGTGATGAGGGAGGACTGTGTTGATGCTCAGTGGTCACTTTTGCTGCTGCTCCTTGTTAGAGGGCTTCCATAAGAGGCTGGGGGCCCTGCCGTCTCCTGAAACGACTGAGCAGCACAGAGAAGACCCCACCGTGCATGGATGGCGAGAGCAGAGACCTGCCATCAGGTGTAAGCGCTGTCTAGCTGCCGCAGTGCAGGGGCCAACTTGCCACCGTGGCTGATAATATTTGACACCAGCCAAGGGGGTCCCGGAGTAGCTTCGGGAGCCTTCCTCATAGTCACACACAAGCGGCACTGCAAGCCTGTGGCCTCTCTGAGACTGACCTTGGCCAGACATTCCCATCAACAAAGAGGATGAGTGTCGGCCAGCTGTGGTCCTGGTGGGTAGGCCGCCCCAGCTCAGGGCTCATCTCGCGTACTGTGCGCCTCTGCTTAACCGTCGCCTGCCGTTTCTGAGGTCTTAGCTGTTGACCGGGTGGAGTGCCAGAATGACACGAATGGTGATTTTTACCAAGCTGGATTTAGACTCTCCTCTTAGAGACAGGGAAACGAGAACTCTATGGGAGAGGAAGTTCTCAGATCTGCTCCTGTCCTGCTCTAGTGCCTCACCTATGTGGCTTTTCTTTGAAATAAAATTGTAAGCCACATTAACTAATGGAAGCAACAACTTCTATTTCTAGAGCATAGAAGCCAGCTTTGGAATGTAAGTTTAATTTTAAAACGGTCGTTACATATACTTAATAATGGCTTTAAATGATGGCAGGATTGGAGAGCTGAGACGTTCCACAGGAAAAAATGGATGCTTCATTCAGATTTTTCCCATATGGGTTTTGGCGTTGTAAAGCTTATTTAACAATAGATAAATGAAACACGATTAGCACGTGTACTCTGCAGTACATGCGTTTCATCATCATGAGAAGACCTAGGGAAGTGCGTTAAAATGACTTCCTGTACGGCTCTCCCTGTCCAGATGCAGCAGAGTCCCCCCGCATGTCAGTCCAGTGCTGGCTGCTTGCAGAGAGCTCTGGCCTGAGTGACACATGCTCATCCCCTAGTGCTTTTCTGCTCATTGATTCCGTTGAGAGCCTAATGTTGTTTAATAACACTCTGGAAACGGGCAAGCAGAATTTCCCTCCTCCGTGTGAACTGTTAGAATTTGCAAAACTATCCTCCAGAATCGGTGCGTGTCTGTAACGTTCATGGAATGCTTGGTCACACCCAGATGTGAACGGCCGTAGCTTGAGCACGTGATGGTCACAAGTGAGCTGGCCGCATTAGTGGCGTTCTGTACACGCTCCGGTGGAAGTGGTAGCGAGTCCGATGCATGTGCCCAAAATGAGAGATCCAGATTGGATCGAAGAATTTTTGTTTTAGATTCTTTTTAGTCAAAAGCCAAATTCATTATGGAGCTTTCTCATAAAACCCAGCGCTGGCCTGTGTCCTCAGGTGCTTTACCGTAATGCACTGTTTTCCGGGCCACGGGGTCTGAAGGCCATTTTTAAGTTTCCTTCAGTTTCGAAGGCACGTAAGTGGAGGGTTGCTCTGAAGGAACCTCCTCGCCATGTGAGGGAAATCGTCCCTCACAGGCACAGCCGCTGGATGCCTCGGATCTGGCAGCAGGTGCCCGACTACTCCGCAGGTTCGGCTGGGGAAACAGCTGCCGTTTCGAAACTCAGGGGTGAGAAGAGACGGGGTTGCCTCTGAGAAGACCCGCCGGCCCCAGGACGTCGGAGGCACGAACTAGAGGGAAAGTAAAATCTCAGGTCGCTGAGGCACGTGGGGAGTTGTTGGGACCAAGAGCTGTGTGTGAGACCAGTGTTGTGGTCCCGGGTCGGATGCTGTAGGCCGTTACAGACGATCGGGAAAAGGTTTGTTTGTGTATCACTTGCAGCTATGGGAGCCACTGCTAACATGGAATTCTCCTTAAGCCATCCTGAAATCAAGCACCTTTTAAAGCATTTTCCCAGTAAATGGTTTCCGATACATTTTCCACATTAAAAATAGTCCTTTAATAAGATACATGCTAGTATTTTGAGTAAGATATACACTGTGTAGAAGTTGACATTTCTTTCCCTTATGACTATTTTTGTAAACTGTACAAGTTACGCATTTTATCTCTAAGGAATTAAATGTAGGAAAATACTTAAAGGAATTAGCAATATTTAATTTCTTGGGATTTTTCTTGTTGTATGTTAAAGTAATATTTTTCCTATTATCACTTTAAAGTACTAGGAGACTTCCAAACATTCTGTTCCTTGTTTAGCTGTAACAGTTATTTCTGTGTCCAGTTTAACAGATGGACTGCTAGCGGCCACTTAGGGTTTTGTTTTTAATATGGCTCTGCAGAACAGTCCACTATGAAAAAGAAATGTGAAAATAAAAATCTTTGCATTTTGTGATACCTGTTAAAATACAGGCCTAGAATTTGAGAGAGCCGCTGCACACCAGCCAATAAGAATTTGTTCACCTGAAGATTTGGAGCCCCCCTCCCCCCCAGCCACTAAGAATTTGTTCACCTGAAGATTTGGGCCCCTGCCCTTCCTGTCACCTTAGAAGTTCAGAGCTGGGCTTTATGTGTAGCTGAGGGCTCGGAGTGTGCTGAGCCAGGCTCCTGTGCGCGGCACAGATCAGCCTCGTTTGGACAACCTGTGTCACTCCTTCCTCCGGACGGTAATGAGGCTTCCCGCCGCAGCCTGCTCTCGGCACGGGATGTGGTGTACAGATCTAGCAGGCTTTATGGGCTGCACGCTCCAACTTCTTTTCCTCTTCCAAGGGCTTAGCCAGTTAAGAAAATGCTAACTGAAGCCTGCTAATCATTTTTAAAGGCGTGTGTAAATTCCCTGAGAACGATGGCCCCGTGCAGAGCAGAGGACTAGCCTCGGTGATATTTTTCTTTTCTGCTCTTGCAGCGGAACTGTGTGTTTTACAGGACACTCTTTAAAACTCAGATTGCTCTACTGAACTCACTGCAGAATTCTTCTTTTCCAAAACCCTAAAGGAAGAAACGTGTGTTTTTTAGCACACACGTGTGTTGATGTGAGTAGTGACCTCCGGGGACACGGACGGAAGTTTTGTCCCACACTCAGCTCTGCACGCTTAACAAAGAGCTGACTTGCAGCTGTCATTCAGCTCGTGGGGCCGACCTGCGGCCGTCATCCATCTGTGAGTTGACAAAGAGCAGTTGCGAGTCGGCAGCGGCAGCACAGGCCTGAGTGGTCCGGGCGCTGCGCCTCACCTCGGTGCCCACGAGGACCGGCGCTGCCACTGCCGCCGCCGCCGCCGGGCGTGGGTTCCTCGTTCCTGTGCAGCCATTTATTTGATCAGGTGTGAATTAGGGCTGTTCATTAAATGTGGCTGTTATTCGGCACAAGAGGGTGAGGGGCGGCAGAGGAAGTGGCTGCTACAACAGTAATTAAACATGTGTAACCAATTAGAGGCCCTCGCCGTGGCCCGAGCGTGTAATTTGCGAAGTCTTTCTATGCGGAGATGAAAATAGGTAGGAAAGTGAGTGCGACTGCAGCATTCTCATGCTAAACATGTCAGCATAAATGAACTTTAAATATATAATTCCTAGTTTGTTAGCAAACCCCTGAACTCTGTTGGCTAATAGCAATAACATGTAATTTCACTTCATTTGCCAGGAAATATTGCATCTGGCAGAGCCAATTAATTGTATTAAACATGATTAATTTTGGGCTTCGCCGTATTGATATTCGAGGGGCACATCCCCAAGTGTGGGGACGCACCAAAGCTAAGATGGCTCAGATCGATCTGCCGCTCCAGCTCGGGGGGGACGGGGGTCTCTGTGCAGAGATGGAAGACGCGCGTACATGTTCTGTGTTACATGTGCAAATGAAGGGTGAAGCCGAAACCCCCACAAAACAGATGCCCACAGAGTGGAAAGGTGCTGGGGGTCCATGGAATCAGTACTGTCGCCGACTGCAGGAAGATGACAGATCTCTGAGCAGGACCGCATGCGAGCCCGAAAGGTTACAGATGAGCTTCGCCGCGCTAGGTGAACTGGCAAAGGCATCCCTCATGTTGCTGGAAATGAGGAAGCCGGATGGTAAAGGGACCCCTAATGAGCCCATCGAAAGGTGGCTTTGTACCCAGCAGACAGGGTAGCTGTGGACTGTATGGCCTTATTGGAAATCAATGGCTTCTATGGAATTTCATTAAAAAGCAGTATCCACCATTGATAGCGCCTCATAATTTGATGGATTGTGCTAAGAAAATGATTAGCTAGCTAGAAAGAGTCGTAGACTACACACGCTGGGACGTCAGAAACCTTGGAGTGGGGTAATTTGTACAGAATAAAAAATATTGATTTACTGATGTGCGAAATTTTGAAGTGGAGGGCAGCCTGTCTGAGTCTCCGCTGATGCAATCTCTCGGTTTTGCAGCCCTGGCCGGGGAAGGCGCCGACGAGGGGGACAGCGGAAACGAGAGCCGGAGTGGGAGCGAGGAGACCAGCGTGTGCGAGAAGTGCTGCGCCGAGTTCTTCAAGTGGGCCGACTTCCTGGAGCACAAGAAGAGCTGCACCAAGACCCCGCCGGTGCTGATCGTGCACGAGGATGAGGCGGCCCCGCCCTCGGAAGAGTTTCCAGAACCTTCCCCCGCCAGCTCTCCCAGTGACCAGACGGAGAGTGAGGCAGCGGAGGAGGCTGTGCCCACAGAGGCCAGCGAGGGCGGCGAGGTGAAGGCCCCACGCAAGGAGGACGAGCCCATGGATGTGGAGCCCTCAGGGGACAAAGGCTTCCCGGGCGGGGTCGTGGGTGCCGCCAAGCCCCCGCTACCTCAGACCCCCGAGCCGCCCCTGGCCGCCTACGCCATGCCCAGCACCAACGTGACATTGGAGACGCTGCTGAGCACCAAGGTGGCCGTGGCACAGTTCTCCCAGGGCGCGAGGGCGGCGGGCAGCGCGGGCGCGGGCGGCGTGGCAGCAGCGGCCCTCCCGGTG